GTGGGTTTAAACTTACTGAAAAACAACTACGTAGGGGTGTAGATTCGCTAAAAAGAAAAAACGCTCCAATGATTATCATTTTAAACGATGTTTTAAGGCGCCAGAATGGAAACGTTAAGCACTCTGCCACGACGCGGAATCACAGACGTGAGGCACGCTCTCAGCGACATGCTTCTGCGTAGTTAGGGAACGGGTGAAACTTCCACGGAGGTCTCCGGACAGAAAGCGAGAGCGCCCTGCGCACGCCCCGGGGCTGACTGAAGGCCCAGCCCAGCGCGCACACAGACGCTGCAAACCGCGCAGGCCTTACCCTGATTGCTTTGAGTCCCCGGGACACCTTGTCTTCTTGCACAACCGCAATAACTTCCTGCCCCACGTCGAGCAGCACTTTGCTCGTCACAGCTTCGTTGGAGAAGTAGATCAGATCGTCGATCATGCCGTAGTCGCTGCAGTACCTTGTCACGACGCCCCGGACGGTCTTCAGCTTGGGGTCACCTGAGATGCACACACAACGACGCTGCACACCCCGCAGGGAAACGCAAGCCTACCCTGCAGAGAAAGGCGGGGTCCAGGAGCGCGGGCGGCGGGGGCGGTCTCCTGGAAGCAGGGTTTGTCCTCCGAGGCCTACAGGTGACAGGTGGGGGACCGCGCAGCCAGACTCGCTGGGTCCGCATCCCGGCTCCCCGGCCGCCGCGCGTGCGCCTCCGGGCTCGCTCTCAGTGGTAACGCGGAGACCGGCTCCACCCACGCGGCCGTCTGGGGGGGCGTGACCGAAGCGGGTCCAGCGCAGCGCAGAGGCCCGCACGCGAGCTCATACCGGCACGCGGCCCCTTACTGCGTGCTGCCGCTGCTCCTGCGCTCCCTCCCGACCGACACATAGGGACGGCTGTGCGGACACTCGGCGTCGCCTCCCGACCTCCCCGAGCGCGGCGCCGGAGCACCGTCCGGCCTACAGGCGGGCAAGCCCTCGGGGCGCAGCAACTGTCCCCACTACCGGCCAGGCTCCCTGCAGCCGCCGTGCTCGCGGGTCAGACTCGAGAGAGACCTAAGGCGCGCAGGGTCGGGGCCGCGGAGGATTCAGAGCTGCGGAGGGCCGGGGCCGCGCGGGGTCGGCGCACGGATGGCTCCCCGCGGCTGCTCCCCGGCTCCCTCCGGACACGCTCCGTTCTCCGGAGCTCAGCGACGACCACCAGACCGTCGGCGCCCGGAACTCCGCGCCCACGGGGAGGACGGACGCAAGCTCGGTGCAGGGTGAGCCGCACGGGCCCTGCCGCCGCCCGCTCCGCCCACACGCGGGGCCCCTGCTCCCACCCCGCGCCCCCGCACGAGGCCTCCCCTCCCCGTCCGCCCGGGGCCCCGCCCCGCGAGGCACCTTCCGCGAGCTCGGACCCCGGCTGCCCCGCGTCCTCGGCAGGGCCGTCCGCCCTCCTCCAGAAGAACGCCACCAGCTTGGTCGCGAGTCGCAACATGTTCCGGCCGCCGCCTCAGATGCCGCACCGCCCGCCGCCGGAGGAGCTCCGCACGCGGCCACGCGCTTCCCGCCGCCCTCGGCCAATGGGGTCGGCGCGCTCGCGCCTGCGTCCCCGCTTCGCAGCTCGGCCAATGGCCTCGCCGCATGCGCCGCGGCCGCTAGCGGCTGGTGGTTGGCGGTTGGTGACCGTTAGTACGCGCCGGGTGAGGCGAGGTGCCGGTGGGCGAGGCGAGGTGCCGGTGGGCGAGACGTCGTGCTGGGCGCCAGGTGTCGCGCTGTGGGCGGGGCCTCGTGCGCGCGGGCGTCCTGGGTCCCCACGCACGCCGCCCGTGGGTTCGCTGGCCCGAGCGCGCTGCGGAGGTTCGACCCCGGTGGCTCGTGGGGCTCGTGTCGTGTCCGCTGGGGCATCTGTGCACGGAGCGAGGCGCCCAGCGGTCCCTGGCGTGTCCCAGCTCCCCTCGCGCTGCCTGCGGGGCCCGCGGTGCGGATCATCGGGCGCAGACCCCCGCGGCCGAGCTGGGGGTCGCCGCCTCCAGCGCTAACCCCGGACCCGCTGCGCTGCCTTTCCTCTGGCTGTTGGGCTTGTGCTCCGACGTCTCCGGTCTGCTCCGAGCCGGTCCAGCCGCGGCCTGCACGGCGGGACAGGCTAGCTGTGGTCACCGGTGCGGACGCGCGGGCCCGGCTTCGGGTTACCGCGAACGAGCCGTTCGTGTGGGGGATTTCCCGGCATTTTGTGTTACTTCCTGATTTGATTTCGTCCTGATCGGAGAATGCGGTGTGGACGAGTCCACCCATCCACGTCCGTGTCGGGAGCTGCTCCTGGGCGACCCGGCGGCGCCCTGCCCCGGCCGGCGTCGGTGTGACCCGTGCTGTGCTCAGTAGATCAGCCCCGGGGTCCTGTGACTCGTGCTGTCCTCAGTTGGTCAGACCCTGGGGGTCGTTGTGACTTGCGAGCTGTCCTTTCAGTAGATTATCCTGGGGACCCCGGGGTCGTCGTGGACAGGATGCTGCGTTTTCCTGGGGTGGTGTGACCTGCGTGTTGTGCTTTCAGTAGGTCCGGGGCAGCCTGATCCTTGCGCGTCCCTCTGAGCCGCATCCTTATGATTCCCCTTGGAGAGCTACGAAGGTCGTCCTTCCCCAACATCTCAGAAGGCGGATGCAGTCTGCATCTCAGACTGGTGCTGGGAACGAACCCCGGAGTGGGGTGGTCCCTGGGTTTTCCTGGGTTGGGGGCAAACGTGCCCAAGGCAGACACTGTGGGCCCTGGCCGTGCATGCTGCCAGGGTGCCAAGGAGAGGCTTGGACCGCAGGGTGGCCTGCAGCAGGAGTGTCCACTCCATAGGACCATCCCCCGTATCCATCAGCCCTGTGTTCTGGCCTCTTCGACTCGGCTCTTTAGCTGGTCCACATGGACACCCAACAGACCTACCAGCCTCGGCCCTCAAAACACAGTCGTGTCCACGTCAGTGGAGACATGTTGACCCTGCACTGCTCCTGGGGAAGCCTTCCGGGCACGGGAGCTCCTGAGCCTCTCACCCCACATCTCCACAGGGCACACGGTCTGGGTGCGTCCACGTCCATCCAGAACCTCTCGCCACTCACCACCCCTGCTGCCCACAATCCTGGCCGGCAGCTGCCCCCACCGGCTGCCCCACAGCCTGCTCCCAGATGCTCCTGTGCCCGAAATCTTCCAGAAGGTCCGCCTCCAAGTCGGACTCACAGCGGCCTCATCCTTCATGTGACGGCTAGGCCCATCGTCCTCCAGCCTGGCCACCTCAAGACCTTTGCATGCGTGGCACCTCTGTTCCGGCTCTTGGTGAGACTCCGCTCCTTGCCTCCTCCTCACTGAGGCCTGCCCTGACTCCCCGACGTGCTTCCTGTCACAGAGCACACTGTTTATTTGGTGCGCTCCCGTGCGCCGGTTAGAGCGCGAACTCCGCGTGGGAAGGACCGCGGTCTACTCTGTCCACTCTCAGTGTTTGCTGAACGGCTGTGAAAACGTTAAAACAGGAGTGGGATCTCAGCGGGCAGACGAGGGAGGGAGGGTATTTTAGGAACAATAGTTTGTGTGAGAAGACACGATTTGTTCTGGAAACTGGCACTGCCAACAGAAACAAGGACACACTTCTCAGGGGCTGACGAGTCCGGAGCCTCGAGGAGGCTGCTCCGCAGTCTCCGATTCGAGGCGGCCTGGTCCTGTTTCTTTGTTTGGAACCACCTTGGAAAGCTGCAGGAATGCTGAAATCTGCTTGACTTTTTTCTGCAAAAGAAAACACAAAAGGTTCCATCCTGTTAGATTTCTCCTAATTCAGTTATCCAGAAGACGGTCAGGAAGGGGTGCCTGGGTGGTGCCCTCAGTTAAGCATCTGACTCTTGGTCTCAGCTCAGGTCATGATCTCAGGGTCCTGGGATCGAGTCCTCTGTCGGGCTCCCTGCTCTGCTCAGCGTGTGCTGGAGGTTTGCTCTCCTTCTCCCTCTGCACCACCTAGCCCGTCTCTCACCAAAAACCAGAACAAACAAAAAGGCAGTGAAGAAGTTTGGGAGAGTCCTCAATCTGTTCGAAATCCCTTCTTGACCTGCCAGGTTGTAGTTTGACAAAATTATGGTCTTTGCTTGGTGGGTGAGGAGGACAACAGAGCAGCCCGTTACCTAGAACCCGCGCCTTGCTTCAGCGCCATGTGGATTTGCAGTTGGAGGAGCAGTTTTTCAGAATGCTTTGATTTGAGCCATTTTATGGCTTCCGTGTCCACAAAGAGTGACTGTCAGGGTGCCAGTGTCTCCGGGCAAGGAAACTCCCGTCCTTTCTCTTTGCTCAGTGAGCAGAAATAAAGGGCCCGTGGGAGTGCCGGGCTGCCGCGGGAACCAGCCAGTCCCCGTTCCGAACAGGTCAAGGGCCCTGCCTGCATTGAAGGCACTCGTGTGCGTGTGCCATGGTGACGGGTCATCCTCTGGGGTCGCAGAGCGCGGGACCAGCCGCCCGAGAGGGTGTGAACATGCAGCTCCTAGTTTGAACCCCACCCGGCTTCCGAGCTCCGGACACTGCTTGCAGGTGGGCGGTCACCCCCCTCCGTGGCCCTGAGCGGAGCTGGCTGGCACCGATGCCCTCACCCTTACACGACTGCCCCAGAAGCTCAGCGTCCCACTCTCAAGTCTCATTGAAATTCGGGAGGCGAGGGCGCGGCTTTGCCGCCCTTTTGTTCCTCCGTGAATAGCGGTTGCTGGAAGCCAAGGCTGCTGACTCCCCAGAGCCCAGGGCCGGAGCCTCCGGAGGTAAGCGCGCCGGCCACACCGTGGGCGCCTTCGGGCTCTCGGCTCGGTGGGCACCTCCAGCGGGCGCGGGGCTGCTACTGTGGGTGCGGGCTGGGGGTGCGGGGGGCCCGCGTCCCGGGGGCACTGGCGGCCGCTCAGCGCTGGGGCACCGGGGGCTGAAGGGGTCCTTGTTCTCTTCAGGTTCACGGCGTTTTCCTACGGGCGATACTTCTTTTACTGAGAGCAGCTTCCTCTAACTCGACTCTTCAGAGTGGGCCGGAACCGACCATCGTTTTCTTGCTGGTGCGTCAGTGGCAGCGGAGGGGGCCCGGGAGCCGCGGTCCCGTGGCCTCTAATGCCGGGGTCTGCGGCCCCAGCACCATGACGCGGGAGGAGCAGGGCAGGGAGGAGCTGAGCTACGACAGGACGCCCACCCTGGAGCGGGCACGGCCCGAGGCCGGGAGCTACGGCCCCGACGCCAAGCCCAGCGAGCTACAGCTGGCCACAAGGCTGCCCCCATGCCTCACCCACAAGACGTGGGTCCTCTCCGTGTTGATGGGGGTAAGTAGCTCCTCCTAGGCGAGTACCGTGTTGTCCCTTGTTCCCAGGACCCCGGACCCCATGCTCCCATCACGGTGGGGCACACACGACCCTGGCCCAGACCCAGAGCCTCAGCCTGGCGATGTTTCCACCTCTCAGGCCTGCCGTGAGGCCCAGGTGCCCCTCACAGCCGGGAAGCCCTTGGGCTGTGGTCATTTCCTGGCTGTCCGCTTGGGCCAGCTTTGCAGAGAGCGTGGAGCGGCCCTGCGTCCCGGCCTCCGAGACTGGCCCTGAGGGTGGGATGCTAAGGCTCCTGGACCTCTCCGTGTTGGGGTGAGCCAGCGTCCAGGGGAAGCCCCAGGCCTTGCTCAAGATTCCGACAGAGGCATCTCCCTTGCCGCTCAGTCCGACCCTGCTGGGGAGGGAAGGGGAGGAGTCGGGTGTGGCGGGAGCTGGCGACCGCGCGGGCCATCCTGGCCGGGGGACGCGTGGTCGAGTGGCCTGATGGCCCAGCGGGCCCATCCCGCGCCCTGAGCTGCGCCGCTGTTTTGCAGAGCTGTCTGCTTGTGACGTCAGGGTTTTCGCTGTATCTGGGGAACGTGTTTCCCGCGGAGATGGATTACTTACGCTGCGCGGCAGGCTCGGTAAGCACCGCTCCTCGGGCGCCCCGCCTGTGCCGGGCTTTGCGGCTGTCCGTCGGGAGTTGTTGGCTTTGAGATTGGCCTGTTGCTGTCACTTGCTCCCCTTCTGACTTTAGTTTCAAGTAGAATTTGATGCCTGTCTGAGGCTCTTGCCGCAGACACCCGGGCGGGAAACGGCGCTTAGGTTTCTAAGAGCTGCACACTGCTTTGGGTGTCCCTGAGCTGGCAGGACGCCCGGCCTCTGCTCCCTTAGGACAAAGCTCCTTGAGAGAATTGGACCCTTTCCCTGCCGTTGTCTCTGGGTCCTTCTCGGTGGCCTTTTTTCACCACTGGAGTGGCCCTTCTTGGGGGTCCCAGTGCTGTCTGGCCCAGATGCTCCGGGCAGCACTGACCTGGGCTGGACATTTCAGCAAAGTCCTTGGTGGTACCCTTCCCCCTCAGAAGTGGCAGGCTGGGGACACAAGCCATGTGCTCCTGCCAGCTCCCCCTCTACCCTTGCAGGCTCTGTCCCTGTAGCTCATGGGGTCTGCGGGGGCCCTGGTGTCTACAGGGGCGACACCTGACACCCATGGTGCCCAGGCTGGTGCCCTTCCCTCCACCTCCCCACTACCCTGACACCCCAAGTTTGCCCCCACGCTTGCCCTCTTCCTCGTCCTCCACTTCTGTGGGGATCAACTGTGGGGTCTCTGACAAGAACTTCCTCAGGGCTCTCGGACTCCTGAACATTTCCACTTCTTCACACGGAGATGAGTTTCCCTCCTGGGGTAGTTCTCTAGTCAGGACAACCTCGCTCTCATGCAGCTGGCGATGGCTGGCTCTAAGTGCGCTCAGCATGGAGAGCTTTCGTTTTCTGCATCTTCTGTCCCTTCGAAAAAATTACAGTTTTTCTAGAATAAATTGTTTTCAAAGCCCTGAGACCTTGCACTGCTGCCAGCACCTGTGCCTCGGACGGGCGGCCCTCGTTTGGCCGGCAGGTCTGGGGTCATTTGGAAGCGTGGGCACTGCAGGGGGGACGGCAGGGGTTGGCCGCGGCTCACGGAGCTCGGGTTTCTTTGCAGTGCCTCCCTTCAGCAATCGTGAGCTTCGGGGTTTCCCGGAGGAACATCAGAGCGGTGAGTGCAGGCCTCCGTGCGGGCCCTGCGGGCGCAGCTGAGGGCCATGCGGGAGCCTCCGAGGGCGGGACGTGCCAGGTGGGCGGTGGGGAAGGAGGCCCAGGCCGCCTGCAGGGCTGACAAGCACCCACCCGTGTGTGCATGTGTGTATCCGTGTCCATTTGTGTGCATGCACGTGTGTCTGCACACACGTGTGGACGGGTGCGTCCGCATTGCCAGCAGCCCCTGTACCCCACACAACAGGGCTTCCTGTACCCTCCCCCCGGCCTCGAGGGGCTGCAGCGCACCCTCCTTGGCTCGTTGTGGTGTTTTTTCAAAAATTTTACTTATTTATTTTAGTGGGGGAGAGCTAGAGAGTGCGTGTGCACATGCGCGAGCACGGGGTGGGAGGGGCAGAGGGAGAGGGAGGCCTTCAAGCAGACGCGCACTGAGCACAGAGTCCAACATGAGGCTCGAACCCAGGACAGTGAGATCAGGACCGTGGCCAAACTCAGGAGTCTGGTGCTCTACCGACTGAGCCACCCCATTGCCCTTGCCCTGGCTCGTCCTCATGTGGCACATTCTGGGGATTTTTAATTAATGACCTGGAATTTGGTGCAACGATACCATTAGTTTTTAGTTATGCTCAGAAGAGTGACCCCCATCTTGTCTTCCAGATCCCCAACTTTCAGATCCTGTTTGTGTCCACGTTCGCCATCACCACGACCTGCTTGATCTGGTTTGGATGCAAACTGGTCGTGAAGCCCTCGGCCATAGACGTGAGTCCCGGGTGGGGCGGCAGGTCCTCCTGCTGCCGCGGGGGCCGGGGGTTCTGGTCCCGCTGAGTCTGGGCCTGAGAGGGGGTCGCTGCTGGGCTGCAACGGTGCAGAAGCCACGTAGTCTGCGCGCCCGAGCTCTGGAGTCTGGCAAGGCTGGAGTTTTATTTTTGCGTTTGAGAGTGGTCTTTTCTCAACTGTTGCACTGGTTCCGTGGATTTGTTGATAACATCTTCAGAGTCTCTTTTACAACGTTTTTTGTCAAATCTGTGATGCTGTTGATTCCGAGGTGCACCGTTAGTGTGTGTGTGGTGCTAAGAAAAGTGGAGCAACCTCCCTGTTTAAGCTGTGATGCCAGAAGAGTGTCCTACAAGAGAGGAATCATCAGGGTTACCTCAAAAAAATAGATAAAAAAGCCTTGTTTTATGGGAAATGCTGTACTCCCTCTTTTTAAGGGCAGGAAGAGAGTGTGGTGGCCCCGAGGAAGTGTCGGCCATCCCCCAGGCAGTCGCAGGAACACTGTCCCATGGACTTGGCAGGGACACTCCTGTTGCCATTGTCTGCAGATGAGGGGATTCCCACTGACTTGACCTTAAACTCAGCACATGTAGCAAGGTTGTTGGGTGTGAAAATCAGCATACAATTGTACCAGCAACAGAACATTTTGGAAACTATAATTCAAATACCAAAAGCATTTTATGGAGTTAAATGTGAAGGTCCTGGGATGAGATCAGTAGGTTTGTGAGGCTGACTTATAGGCCATCTATCGGGAAGTCTTACTGAGAACCAGGATGCCCTTGTTAGATCAGTCCTGCCAGGAGCACGTGCCACACAGGGGTACCTTGCGATGGCAGCGGGACCCAGCACTAATCGTAATCATGGGCCAGGGATGGCAGCCCCTGGACAATAGCCGGGGACTCACCCCACAACCAGGAGTTCTTAAACAGCCATCCCAGAAGGCAAGGGAGCACCCCGCCCCCGCTTCCGGGCCAGCCCAGAGCAGCCCTGGACATGGAACACACTAGTGCTGCTGGAGTCCGACCAGGGCAGTCACGGGAGCTCCCGCTATAAGGGGGACCCCTCCCAGGGCATGTGGGGGCACTCCCACTGCGGGTCCGTGGGAGAGGGTCCTCACCGAGGAGGAAAGCACAGTGCCCCAGGCGGCTGGAGGTGATCTCAGCCTTGCTGCCGTCACAGGAGGTCAGTGGAAGCCACAGGGAGGTGCCATTTCCAGCAGCGTGTGGCCAGAAGCCATGGAAGGCAGAAGGAGCCTGCCTCCCCCCACCAGGGTGACTCTCACGTTCTGTGGCAACTGTCTGGTGTCTGCGTGTGTTCTGAGGGAGGACACATGGGGAGGGGACTCTGCCCCCCCACCCTGGCAGGGCAGACCCTGGGGAAACACATGTGCACCCGGCCAGGAACTGGGGCTCTGGCGGCCCTGGGGATGGTGCCCAGAAACCCGAACCGAAGCAGATCCTCAGCGTCCCTCAGTGTCCCTGGACAGTGCCCCCCCAAACACACACTGGGTAAAGCAAGGCGGAGAGCCCCATGCCGCCCAGCCTTCTCCTCCAGCGTGGCCCGTGGCGGCAGCGCCACCAGCCCTGGAGCTGGAGCTCTGGTCTCCACCCCACCTGGGCCACCGCACAGGAATCTGGGGTAACCACACCTTGGGGGGGGGCTCCCGGCTCCTGAAGGCCGGGCCACAGCGCACCCGGAGTGCAGTCTGTGGCACCGAAGACACGGCTCCAATGCCCGAACCACCAGGGTCTGGGGCTGCGCATGCACGCGTACACACACCCTTGCGCACGCGTACACACACTTGCACACACACGTGTGTTCTGAGGAAGGGCACACGGGGAAATAGAAAGCTGCAGGTGGGACAGGCCATTCGCGGTTCCCACATGCCTCCTTCCGGCCGGCTCTGGGCGAGCATGTCTGACGTCCCCACAGGGCGTGTGCAAGACAGCCCACCCGCCTCCACCGTCCCCGTTCAGCCCCCTGTGGGTCTGTGCGGCATCCCCGGGGGGTCCTGTCTCCCTGTACTCTTCGGGGTGGGTCCAGGGGGCTCAGCTTCCCTGCCCCCTGCCAGGAGCGGGCCCATAGGGACACACTTCTGCAGGGTCTCCTACACCCGCGTTGGGGCAGCCTGGCTCTCACACCCCTGCTCAGGGCTGAGGCTTCCCAGACCCCACGAGCTTCCCTGGTCTGCTGTGCTCGGGGAGGACCCCAGGGGCAGCCGCTCACGTCTTCCCTCCCCCTGTCTCATCCCCGATGCTCCGAAGCTCCCTGCCCTGACAGCTGCCCTGTGTTCCCCCTCTGCACCGCCCCCCCCCCAGTAAATCCTGGGCCTGGGCCACACCGGGTGCCACACACCCTCCTCCCCTCCTGCAGTGCTGAGCCCTCGGGCTGCAAGGGTGCTTCAGAACAGGGTTACCGAGTCCCTCAGCAAGTGTCCCGGGATGCGTTGTGGTCACTTCAAGTTTACGGAATAGCTTTGTGAGCAGTGGCCTCTTTGGTCTGTTAATTACCCCGTGAAGAGTCCTCCATGGTCTCTCAATGGATTCAGATCATCCTCTGGGTCCATCCTTAGGGCCTCAGTGTTTTGTGGATCTTGGGCAAGTAATCCCACATCATTTGCAGGTTTTGTTGCTAGTAGGGTATCTTATTTTTCAAATGACATTTTCAGATGGATTATTGAAGTATAGAGACAGGGGATTTAATTTTTTTCTTTATTTGGAAATATTTTAAGACTCAAAGTAATTTGAAGAGATGGTAGGTGAGTTCTTGTGTGCCCGTCCTCAGCTTCCCCAAGCGACCCTGTCCCGTATCATCAACCAGGAGGTCGGCCCTTGCTGCTGGGGGAATGTTCACACTGTGCGGTTTTTAAATAAAAGGTGTTTCGTCAGTTGATTTCATGTCTGGAAACCTTGCTGAACTTTCTTATCCTTCACAGTTTTGGGGGTTGTGTGGGATTTATGTGCGGGTGAGCGCGTCATCTGGCTCCTTTCTGAGGAGCTGTGGCGGGTTTCCAGCACCGTGGGAAACCGTGGGGCGTCTGTGGGGGCGTCTCTGTCTTATTCCTGACCCCACACAAGTTGCAGCCAAAGACTCTCCATTACATTTCGGACGTAACTTTCACCAAGTTAACGTTGTCTTCACCTGCTGGTTTACCGTGACCTTTTCATTTTAAAAGTATAAACAGGTGTTGGGGCACCTGGGTGGCTCAGTGGGTTAAAGCCTCTGCCTTTGGCTCGGGTCATGGTCTTGAGGTCCTGGGATCGAGCCCCACATCGGGCTCTCTGCTCAGTGCAGAGCCTGCTTCCTCCTCTCTCTCTGCCTGCCTCTCTGCCTGCTTGTGATCTCTCTCAAATAAATAAATAAAATCTTTAAAAAAAAAGCCAAACAGGTGTTGAAGTTTCATAGTTTGATTTTGCTTCTGTAAGATGCTCTTTCCTTGCTTTGACGGATCAGTGTTTCTGGTGTTGAGCCTTCTTTCCCGGACTACGGTAGATACTCGGATGGGCTGACCAGCCGCCATTGTGTTCAGGATTTCCGCACCATCTGCGGAGACGGCAGGTGCTTCCTTCTTCTGCTGAGCTGTAAAGTGAACTGGACAGCAGTGGTCTCTTCCGTGTTTAGGAACGACGTGACAGAGCAAACTGCTGCTTAAAGGTTGGGTAGAACACACCGTGGAGTCTCCATCCCGAGCCCTTGCTGAGGGAGGACATCATTATTAGCAACAAATATTCTGTTTCTTCTTCCTCCTCATTGTCGTCGTTGGCCTCCTCCTCCTCCTTCTTTTAAAGATTTTATTTATTTATTTGACAGAGATCACAAGCAGGCAGAGAGGCAGGCAGAGAGAGGGGGAAGCAGGCTCCCCACTGAGTGGAGAGCCCGACGTGGGGCTCGATCCCAGGACCCTGAGATCATGACCCAAGCCGAGGCAGAGGCTCAACCCACTGAGCCACCCAGGCACCCAAATTTCTGTTTTTTCTTGTGCCAAAGTTTGGCTTTTCTCTTTTTATCAAAAATTTCTCCATATCATGCAGTTTTTCAAAAATGAGCAGCACATAATAGCCCCTAACATTGTTTACTGCTTTATGTGTGCGATCTAGAACTTCTTTTTTTTAAGTGCAAGTTACTTTATTTTTTAATTTTTAAATTTCTTTTTAGTGTTCCAGAATTCATTGTTTATGCACCACACCCAGTGCTCCATGCAATCTGTGCCCTCCACAATTCCCACTACCAGGCTCACCCAACCCCCCAACCCCCGCCCCTCCAAACTCTCAGATTGTTTCTCAGATTCCACAGTCTCTCATGGTTCGTCTCCCCCTCCGATTTCCCCCAACTCCCTTCTCCTCTCCATCTCCCTATGTCCTTCGTGTTATTCCTTATGCTCCACAAATAAGTGAAACCATATGATAATTGACTCTCTCTGCTTGACTTATTTCACTCAGTGTCATCTTCTCCAGTCCCGTCCATGTTGCTACAAAAGTTGGGTATCGATTCTTTCTGATGGAGGCATCATACTCCATAGTGTATATGGACCACATCTTCCTTATCCATTTGTCCGTTGAAGGGCATCTTGGTTCTTTCCACAGTTTGGTGACTGTGGCCATTGCTGCTATGAACATTGGGGTACAGATGGCCCTTCTTTTCGT